TGTGGCATTCGCACACAAGCAGAACGCATCATGTGATAGGCCAGCCTAGTCTAGATTATCTAGGCCTACCACGCCTCTCACTTCTCCGATGCGGGGATGGAGAGCTCATAGTGCTGCACTGTGATGGACGGAGCGAATGTGTGACGTGGGCGGGGTGTGGTGTGTTCCCATTGTGCGCAAGCAGACGCAACGCACCACAGGGTGTGGTGGGGTGGGGGACAACACAGCGAGCGAGTTAGCCTAGAGAACTTTCTTTCTGATCGCCAACACCGAGCTGTCAATATCGCTAGCGTTTGAGAAAGAAAGCTAATTCGACTTTTGATCAAGTAAGACTTAAAGGTTATGTTGAACCAAATCATCATCAGGGGAGATAGCAAAAAGAAATAAACCGAAAACCAGACTCATAGATTAGGCCTACTTTACTATTTCCCTTGAATTTATTACTGGGTCCCTTATAAAGAGAATTTTGCTATAACGGACATTTGGCACCGGTCCCATCCCTCTCGTTATAACAGGATTCCACTGTAGAAATTGAATGGGGAAAAAGGAGGAAACCCCATCAAAGTACCCACCAACCTTCATTTGATTCAGAAAACGTCAATTCACTCTCAGAAAAAGCAAGCCGACCCACCATACAGAAATATCACTCAAAACTTTCATGACTCAAACGCAGAGAGAAAAGAAGGCTTGCTTGAAACAAACCTTTGAGGAAATGGTCTTTACAATTCCTAGCATGCTGAAATGATGTAATTTCATTACTACATGGTCATGAATCCACAGCATTATTTTCTGCAGTATCCTAGGCTTTGAACGCATGTAAACAGAACAGTAAACCATCCGGAACGATACAGAAGCAAGATCCTTTCCTTCTTACTGGGGAACTTGTCACAGGGTTTTGTTTCAACTACCCCACAGTTCAAAGGAAAATAATTTGACACGCTAAACAAGCAACTTTTTCTATAATCTACCTACTGTCTTTCGTCAGCAATTTCACAAACTTAAATTGACAGGCTCTGGCCTCAAGTTTGACACTGGCACAATTCAAACACATCCTTCAAAGATGTTCCATATTCTAAACGCCAAACTCGACAGGAAACAGGAAAAGCACCGATAAAGCCACAGAACAGGTGCACAGAACAAGAAGCAGAAAAACTGGAAAGAAAATCAAATACAAAAATTTAAACCCCCTCCAAAACAGCAAGAGGTGGAGGGGGAAAGAACTCCAAAACTGCAGGAAGGGAAAAAGGGG